GAGTAAAAAAGTAAAACAACAAAAATATATGTGGGAATTTCACTTGTTTGTCAGTGAGTACTTCCTTGCAGGATTATAGTTGTCAAATACACTAAGACAATTTCCTCAATTTCCTGTGCAATCTATAGATGACACACACTAAGTTTAACATTAACCTTTTCTTACTTTCTTATGCCTACACAATTCACAGAACAATTAAGCCTTAACTTGTAGCATTTCCCAATTTCCATGGTGTTAATACTCCCACCGCATCAGATTTCCAGCCACAAGTGATGTCCTGAAGGTGGAGGTGGGAAGGGATGCACATGGGTGCACAGTTACTGTTTCCACCACCAGAAACACCAATGTAAGTCATCTCAGGAGCACAAGCAACAGTCAAATGTTAGGAAAGGATATGTTTTGAGTATTTACTACCTTGAAAATTTTTAGCTGTAAATTTATCAGAGTAAAATTCACTTTTTGGTGCACAATTCTGAGTTTTAACACATGCGAAGAGTCGTGTAACCACAATCAAGACACAGAACAGTTCCAACACCGTCCCCAAGATTCCACTGTGCTACCCCAGTGTCGTGGAAACATCCCGTAAATCCTGGCAAAGCCCTTTCTCTACAGTTCTACCTTTTGAAGAATGTCCTGTAAATGGAGAACAATATGTAGCCTTTTCAATCCAGCTTCTTTCACTCAGAAAACGCATCTGAGATGTGTGTGTCTGCCATGCACACAGCAGGCCATTCCTTCCCACCGTGGGCAGAAGCAGTGCAGGGATGACCATGCTGGTCCATCCACCCCCAGGGAAGGAAGGCACATTTGAACTCTTCCTAGTTTCTTTTTTCCTTTACAAGTAAAACTGATGTAAGTATTTCAGTACAAGTTTTTGTGTAAACAAAGATTTTCATTTATCTTGGGTAAATGCCTAGGGGTGAGACTGGAATACTGCACGATTAGTATATGTTGAACTTTATTAGAAACCACCAACCTGTTTCCCACAGCGGCTGCATCATCTGCATTCCCACAGTGAATGAGCATTCCAGTTGCTCTGAATCCTCACCCGCACGGGGTATTGTCAGGTTGGTTGTTCAGGTTTTCCTTTTTTTAGCCACTTTAACAGGTGTCTAGACATGCCTTGCTGTGGTTTTAATTTGCATTTCCCTAACTAATGAGGTTGAGCATCTTTTCACTTACCTGTCATTTGTACATCTTTGCTGAAATGTCTTTTCAAATTCTTCGTCTTTTTTTTGCCTTTTTCTTAATTGGGCTGACTGTTTTCTTGTTGATGAGTTTTGAGGATTCCTTATATATTCTGGATACAAGTCCTTTGTCCCATATGTAATTTGCAAGTATTTTCTCCTTGTTTGTGGCTTGTCTTTGTCTTTCACAGAACAAGTTTTTAACTATGATGTAATTCAACTTATCAATTTTTAACTTTATGAATTGTGCTTTTGGTGTTAGAACTAAGAACTCTACCCAACAAAAGGTCACAAATATTTCTCTTCTATTTTCTTCTAAAAGTTGTTATAATTTTCCATTTAGGTCTATATTTGGTTTTGAGTTAAATTTGTACAAGATGACAGATAGGGGTCAAGGTTCATTTTTTAAACACGGCTGTCCATTGCTGCTGCATCGTTTCTTGAGGATGATTCTTTCTCCACTGAAATGTCTCTGCACTTTTGTCAACTCAATGGACTACATTTGTGTGGGTATATATCTGAACTCTCTGTTGTGATTTATTCATCTGTGTGTCTATTTTTTTGACCAATGCCACACCATCTTGATTACTATAGCTTTGTAGTAAGCCTTAAATCAGCTAGTCTGAGTAAGTCCTCCAAATTTATTCCTCTTCTTTAAAGTTGTTTTAGCTATTCCAATTCCTTTGCATTTCCATATAAATATTCAAATCACACTCTTGATATCTAAAAAATTCCTGCTGAGATTGCAATAAGTCAGTTTTGGGTGGACTGATATCTTAATACTGAGTCTTCTAACCTATGAACTCAGTATGTCTATTTAGATGTTTTATAGTTTTCAGCATAAAAATCCTGCACATTATTCTGTTAGATTTATACATATTTCATTTGTTTCAATGCTACTGTCAATCATACTGTTTTTTAAATTTCATTTCCAATTGTATATAGAAATACAGTTGATTTTTGTATGTTGACCAATGAATTTGCTAAACTTACTGGTAGTCTAGGAGGGTTTTTTTTCTGGTACATTCCATGGGATTTTCTACATTGACAATCATGTTATCTGTCACTAGAGACAGTTTTATTTCTTCTTTTTCAATCTGTATGTCTTTTATTTCATTTTCTTGCCTGACTGCAATGTCCAGGACTCTTGATAACACTGAAAATAAGATGTGAGAGGGGACATTCTTGCCTTGTTCCCAGTCTTAGAAAGAAAGATGTCAGTCTTTGATCATTAAGTTTGAGGTCTATTGTAGGTGTTCATGTGGATTCCCTTCAGGTTAAGGAAGTTCCCTTCTATTCCTAATTCACGGAAAGTTTTTATCAAGAATGGATACTGAATTTTGTCAAATTTTTTTCTGCATCTATTGGGATGACCATGTGGCTTTTTCCTCTTTAGTCTGTTTACATGGTGATCTGCGTTGAACTCGTCTTGCTTCCCCAGAATAAATGTATTCTTTTATATATTGCTACATTTGATTTGTGAATATTCTGTTGAGGAGTTCTGCCCTGAGGATTCTGGTAGGGACCTTAGAAAAATCTAAAGTTCTTACCACTACCTCCAAGATACTCCTCTCCAATACCAACTTCTTCACTTACAAAGGATACTGGTTGTAGCTTTTTAACATCTTTCCCCACCCAAAGGGGAAGCAGAGAAGGGCTCTTTTTAGACCTGTGGAAAACAATCAATGATAAATTGCATGGTGGAACCTGAACCCACACCCATGCAGCCTGAGCCTGAGCCTCAGACCTGGGTCACACAGCTGCCTGTCTCCTAGGAGGGTCTGCTAAGGGCCCAGGACCAGGAAGTCAGGGGTGCAGGATGAATCTGGATGAGCCCAATGAGGAGACAGACTGCAGACCAAACTTCACCCTCCCTGATGTCTTGTTTGTGTATATATGAAGTGGGGAAAGGGGCAGAAGCAGTCAGTCCTATCACCCAGCTGTGGGTTCAGCAACCTGGCAATGGTCTGGCTCCCCTCTATGTAACCCCGATATGCTCTTTCCTTGGCCCCAGGGACCCCTGAAAGAACTGGTGGTTCAAAGTCTCTTTCTGCTTTACAGCTATGCTATTTTGTGCAGCATACCTAAGGGCAGCAGAGATACTGGAGTCCTCAATCAGGCCTCTTCTAGTGTCACTCCTTCCATGGGGACTCCTTCCCATATCCCAGATCAGACCCGACCCTGGTGGTTATGGAAGCCTCAAGGGCTCCAGGATCCCTAGCCCTGGCCTGATGCTACCCTAGGGGTCTCTCAAAGGCCTCCTTCCACAGCTCCCTATGTTTTTGCCAGCCTTCGCCCTAACAGTGCACCTGCTCCCACAGCCTCAGTGCTCACCTCTGCCAGGAAGAGGCCCAGACCAGACTCATTTCCAGCTGCAACCTCCCCTCTTTCCTTGTGCCAGGGCAGTCCTACCCACCCTGCCTCACTGTTTCCCTTTCTGAAATCCACCTGCAGAGTCTCCTGACACCATCTTTAAAGTGACTCTTGGCCTTGGCCTTAGCCAGGCCACAGCACCTCCTTTTTGGACCCTGCCCTGCCATGCCATAGAACAGCTGCTCCACCGTCTCTCCTCCCTGCTCCCTCACTGCCTGTCAAGTCAAAACCGTCTTCTTCTGAGCTATACATTCAAACTTTCTACAGCACGGTCAGCCCAGCAAATCCCAGCTCTGTTACTCACAAGGTATGTGACCTCAGGCAGCTCTCTGGGCCATGTCTTCCTCATCTGTAAAATGTACTTCAAAGGCTATTGAGAGGTTTTAAAGGCAGTGAGGCAGTAGGTATCCAGCACTTTGTAGACTTTGGGTCTGATCCCCACTATGCCCAAGCCCTAAGAAATCCTACCCTGGCTAAACAGGCTCCTGTGCAGCCAGCAGCTCTCCCAGGCTTCCTATGTGTTGTGGCACGAGGTGGGCAGGAGAGGGCCTGAGGCTGAGCAAAGTGACTGCAGGGGAGGCAGCCATGAACTTATCCCAGGTTTCTGTGGGCCTCAGTTTCCCCTCAGCTCAGTGAAGCTGAGATTTCTACAAGAAAAGCCAGGATGGGGAGATTTCTACATAGAGGCTGGGAGGGGTTGCTTGAGCAGCAGGAGTGAGCCTCTGGTGCACTGGGAAGGGCTGAAAAACAAACGCACCAGAATCCAAATCAGGAAAGCTCAGAGCAGTGGTTGCCGTGGCAACCTGCAGCAGGCTCCCAGCCTGGCGCTCAGCCTCTCTAGGGTGGGGGCCAAGACTTGTCAGGCTCGGCTGCCCCTGCCTTCACCAGCTCTGCGCAGCTCAGCAGGGACACAGGAGAGGGGCAAGGGCACCTCCGCCCCATCAGGTGGGCCCTGCAGGCCTGGGCTCCCACTACCAGCTTTAGGGAGATGACTCCTCTCCCACTCCTTGCCCAGAGCGAGGCCTATTCCCTGCGTGTGGAGATGCCCTCAGGCTTCCACCAGTGGTCTCAAAGCAACCATGTGGGCACAGGGTAGAGGGGGCAGTGAGGTGATTCCCCAGAGCTCCCATCATAGCTGGGTGAGGGAGGGGACAAGCACGAGGTCCAGGCACTGGTGCAGTGCTTTATGTACATTTTCTCTCATTCCCCTTTGGCAGATGAGAAAAGATGTTCAGGGAAGTTAAGTGACTTCCCAAAGTCACAGAACCACTGGGTGGTAAAGAGCTGGCTCCAAGCTGGGGTTTTCCAACTCCTGGACCCAGACCCTTCCCACAGGGCCTGTTACTGGATGCCATGGACAGACTATCCAGCACGTCATCAGGGGACCCAACAATCACCACGGGGTTGTGCACAGTCTGCACACACAGAGGAAACAGACAATGGCCTTCATGCCTCCGTTTTAATGGCCAAACCAGCACTGCCCAGATGATACCCATACCCCAGTAGGGAAGTCCTCCCTCCTGCCTGGTATCTCCTCACAAGCCCACCCAAGCTGGTGCCCTTTAGCCTTACTAGCAGCATCCCAGTCCAGTCCAAGTGTCAGCCTCATCTCAGCTCCTTCAGCAAGCTGTTGATAGAGCCCAGGAGTTCCCGGAAGTAGCCCTCATCCTCGCCATCTTGGAGCTCCAGGGCAGCCAGTGCCTGGTACTCAGCCTGCAGGCTGACCAGCATCCTGCTGAGCTGGGGGTCTTGACGGTAGCGGTCCCGACAGGTGGCCAGGAGGGCATCCAGCGTCTGCAGCACCTTTTCTCGGGCATCGTGCTCTGGCAGTGCCAGGAGGTGGGCAGTGATCTCGCACCAGCCCTGTTCCCGAAGGCCTGGCAGAAGGTGCACCTGGCGATACTGCTGAAGCTTCTCTGGGGACGTCTCCTGGGTCAGCTCAGCCTCCTCCTCAGCAAACATCTGCCATCCGCACGGCCAGGTGGCAGGGGTATGGGAGGGGTAAAGAACACACAGATAGCAGTTAGCTCTGCCCTTCAGACTTGAAGGCACGTGGCCGACCCACGAGTCGGCACCCTCTTCTTCCATCCCCTTCATGGGAGAAATCAGCTGGATTCATGGCTTCACATGTGCTCCCCAACCCATCCAAATGTCCACCCAACTGTCACTCATCAAAAACAACTGTGCAATGTGCCAGGTGCTTGGAAAAACCAAGATGGAGACCTAGTCCCTGTCCTCAAGGAGCTCAGGATCTAGCAGGAGAATAAAAACAAACTGAACAATTCCTACATAGCAGGATGCATTTAGTCCAGCAGGGTAGGGTGGAGGCAGACAGTCTGCATTCAAATTCCTGCTCCACCATGGACTGCTGAATGACCTGTGGCTGGCACTTAGCCTGCCTGGGACCCAACGTCATCACCTCTTACGTGGAAGTGATGTGACCCCTTCAGGACTGTTGGGAGGACTCAATGAGACAGTGAACATGCAGCCAGTCAGTGCCCAGCACCAAGAGCACACCAACAGTGTGAGCTTTGCCATCAAGTATTAACTATACCTTCTGCACCTCAAAAAATGTTAGCTGTGCCAGCAGCGTCAGAATCATCACCACCATACTGATCCACTCCCTCAGGGGAGTTAGGACACAGGGGACAACGGAGGATGGCATTTCCCTGAGTCTTGAGGGGCGTGTGGGAGTTGTCCAAGAAGACAGGGGTGGAGGGTCCACACACAGAAGCAGGTTGTGACAAAAGGCCTGGGCCCGCCTCATGTTTGAAGAATGGCAGGTTGCTCTGGTGGATGAGGCATGAGGGTCAGGCTGGGGCCCAGTGTCCCTCCAAAGAGGGTGGCCACTACGCTGAGGGCCTGGGGAGCTGAGGAAAGTTTGGGCAGGAAGTCACATGCATGGCATATGTCTGTTAAGTGCAGAATCCCAGCCCCAGCAGCCTACAGTGGGTACCAATCCTGCCAGGCTCTAGAGGCAGGAAAGGAAACACCTGAAACCTGGTAAGTTACCAGCTTATTTCAAATGTTGGATGAAGGCTATGTAGAGATGGAGGGTTGGAAGTGGTTAGAGATGTCCCACATTGATTGTACTAAATATATCTGCAAGAAGAAAGGAATCACTGCTCTAACTCCAGCAGGGGAAGAGGATGGGGAAGACAAGAGGGAAGCCCAGGAAAAGACTGGGGACCACAGTGGACCACCTGATGGTATTGGAGCCCATGGAGCTGGGAGAGGAAGCAGGGGAGGGGAGGGGTTCATCATCCTGGGACAGAAAAGGCTGAGAAGGATCTGGTAGTCCTCCCCTAACCTACTCCCAAGTCCTGCCTGCTCCACCTCCAAAACACATCCCAGTCCTCACTGCACTTCTGCAGTCCGCTGCCTCCCGCTCCCAGCCTACTTCCTCCAGTCTCCCAACTGCAGACAGTGCAACCCAGCCCCAAACCCTTCACAACTTGGCATTTTTGATGATAAATAATGACTCCTTTCCCTGGAACTTCAAGGCTCTGCAGGATCTGCACCTCCCCACATACGTCCTCACTCTGGCACCATTCACATTAACTCACCCCCAGGGCCTACGCAGGTGCAGCTCCCACTCCGAGGCACACTGTCACCTAATACCAACTCCACAGTCAAACTGACTCACCCCTCAGATCTTAGCACCTCCCCTGACTCCCCAGAAGAGGTCATAATCATAAGCCTCCATAGCCTACATGTTCTAGGAGATTCTCTGATAAATGTCTGCCCAAAAACACCAGGAGGGAAGGGACCATGGACTTGGCACAATATCAGGCAGGGCAGACACCCAGTCAACACTTGTGGAAGGAACCAGTGGGCAGGTCACCACTGTGGCCATTCAGCTCCACAGAGGCATAAGAGGATGTGGGCTCATGAGCACAGGCAAGTGTCCCATCTCTGCAGGAGCCCAGATGTCAGGACACAGTCTCTCAGTAGAGGCCCTGTCAAGAGCCAACAGACAGAGGAAGAAATGCCTGGGGTCCGGCAGACTGCAGAAGGGATATACCTGTGAGCCAAGGACCCCAACAATCTGAAAGGTAGATCCACATTCTATGGGCATTCCAAAGTTCAGTTGCTACCTCCTCACACCAGTGATGCCCTCAAGGCCCATGGTATCCCCTTTGGCAACCTGACACACCTCTACTTTCAGGCATTTCTGGATCCATCCCTGGGTGGACTAGTTCTTCATTCTTTCTGAGAAACCACAAGGACAGAGATGCCCTGACTGCCTCAAGCATACAGTATGGTTGCCATCTGTCCTCTGACTAAAAGTCCTCCACCATCCTCCTGTAGGAAGATGGCTGTCTCTGTACTGTTTGCAGAGAGACACTAGTCCCTCTGTGATCTTCACAGCACCCCTAAGACTCAAAGGCAGACTCCTGGGGCCAGCTGACTCAGAGCAGCTTTGGTAAGACTGCCAGCGGTAGCTCTCCAGGTATGAGCCACTATACCCCACTATACCAGGGCTTGGGGCAGCAAGGCACCAGAGGAGAGTAATGGGTTTTTCCTGGGAAATGCCAAGCCAATGTACACGTCCTTCCCCAGGCTCGCTGGCCCACTCCCAGGATGTCAACTGTGCCCAGGCCTTATTAATTGGATGTGAGCAGCACATGACTGCCTGTTCTTCTCAGAAACCAGGTTTCTGCAGCTTGGAGGAGTGGAACAAGGCGGGTGGAGAGAAGGGGGAAGTGAAGAGAGAGACTAAGAAACAAGACAGGCCAGAGAGACAGAGAGACAGAGTGAGTGAGTGCACACACACAAAAGCAAATAGCTGAACTCAGAAGCAGTGACAGGCAACCCTGATCCTCAGCCTGAGGCTTGGGGGAGGGGTGTGCAGCGCAGAGAGGGTAGGGACGAAGGGCTGGGCCCCTCTGCCCCCAACCTTCAGCAGGGTTGCAGTGGCTGCCCAGTCCTGCTCCACTAATCCACAGTCTGCTGTAGGAAGTGTGGCCCCAGAGAGGCAGCTGAGCAAACCCTGCCAATGCTCTCTGCAGCAGCTGAATTAAGAATCAGGCCTGGATGGTTTTACCCTCTCCTTAATTAAGTCACTTCAGGCTCACAAAGACCAAAGTGAGCTGTGTAGCAAGTCTTCTCCCAGGCGGCAAGCCCTGGGGTCCCTTGGGCCCTTGAGGGCAGCCATTCTGAGTGTCCGCCCAGAGCCAAAGCTCCCAGAGGAGGCACCTCCAGGTTTCTAGAATCTTAAGATTCAGCATCATTCCAGCCTCTGCCTCCTCTGTCTCCTGGCTGCTCTGACGGCTTCCAGGTACAGCCAATCCATCCCACCTGTATCTTGGCACCCCGACCCTATGCTTCAGCCAAGTGACCCTTCATTCTACGAAGGGCTGATCTTGGCTATTTCTGGCCTTCAGTCATGATGACCCCTCATCAGACTGACCCATGTGCGTGCATACTTGACCCTGCTCACTGCCAGCACTCTCTACTCCCCTCCTGCTCATCAGCCCTCAGGTTTTAGCTCAGTAGTCACTTCCCAAAGGACATCTGACCTGATGTCTCCGAAATTCTGGGCTCCACAGCATCCCAGTCTGCCCATCTCAGGGCTGGCATGTTTGCTCAAGAGTACTCAGCTATGAGGACAGAGGGATGGACTGAAGAGATGGGGGACGGGAAGGATCAAATGGCCAGAAGCAAACATAAAGCAAAGTTCAGGGAGGCAGGGCAGGCCTAGGCACTCACCTTCTCAGTGACCAGGTCATAGAGCAAGGTAACCACACGCACGGCCAGCACCTCCATGCCTTTCTCCTGGACCAGACTTCTCAAAACGTGCAGCCCCCCCAGCTTCAGGAACTGCTGCTGGGCATACGGGAAGTGTCGTAGTAGGGAGCACAGTGCAAACAGGACCTGGGGAGGCAGAGATCCAGAAGGGTGAGGGGCCATACAGATCTGGCCCTGCCCCAAGGCCAGGAAAAGGCAGCCAGAGGCGCCCCAATTTCCCCAGCCCAGCCCCCATTCTTCCTGGCCCCACCTACCACCCTCAGGTATAGCTATACCCCAGGACCCAGATCTGTGAGAGCAAGGAGAGACATCAGACACCTCCAACATTACCCAGTGGACAAACAGAGGCCCAGGGCAGGAAGCCAGGGTGTTGGAGCTGAGACTGCACCATGGGTTGAACCCAGGCCTCCAGATGCCTCAGCATGCTGTAGTGCTGCTTTAGGGGATGGAGACATCTGCCCTATGCCACCTAGAAGATGACCAGTCAGGCCCCCAAGAATGATGTACACAGCCTGGAAAGGGACCCTTGCCTTTTAGGGTCCACAGAGGTGCCGGGGTCTGGGTACGAAAAAGGGAAGAGAAACGTACCTTCTTCTTTGCAGTGAGGGGCTGCTCCGTGGCCAGGATGACCAGCAACTTCTGCAGGGCTCCCCCCTCAATGGCCTCCACTTGGACCTTTGGGTTGCTGGGGGAAACACACAGGAAAGTATGACTTCGCACCTACTTGGGGGCACATGCCTGTGACCAACCCAGGTTAGGTAGGGGTCTGGTCCCCTTGGGATATGGAGCTCCTCGAGCACAGGGCCAGGGACCCCTTCCTCTCTCTCTGCCATCCTGGGTGGTGCACAAAGACATCACAGAGTAAACGCTTGTGGGAGGAAGGCAGGAAGAAAGAACAAGATCCAGGGAGCCTCTGAATCCCTGAGTAGATCCTAAAACAGGACCAACCCAGCTGCCTTCCTGCTGGACTCTCCACTCCAAGACAATAGCTACTGTGATTGTCCCTGTGTCTCAGAGCTCAGCACAGAGCCTGCCATGTCGTAGGGCCCTGGACAATAGGGAATGTGCAAATAAACACACGTGTACAACCATGACTGTACCAACCAACAACGAGCAACATGGAAACACTCAAAACCCAGAGCTGCCTCTGGAACTCCATTCCTGATTCTGGGCTGGAGAAAGCTCAGGAGCTTCAGTCGAACATTTCAGGCACAGCCGTCCTGGATGAAAGGATGGGGGCCCGGAGGGTGAGACCTCCTCTAGGGCTGAGCACCAGATGGTGGACATGGTGATATGATCTTACTTTCTAAGATCAGATTGGTCATCAATTAAGGAGCAAGTGCCAAGCACAGGGACCCGTATAGTTAGGCCCTTGAGAAAGGTCAAGATTCTCTCAGCAGCAGCTTATGAGGCCTCAGAAAAGAAAGTTGGTGGGAATGTAAAAAGCCTGAGACCAGCAGCAAGGGGAGGGGCCAGGCCAGAGGTCAGATGGTGGCTGTCACGCGCACCCAGACAGCAAGCACACAAAGGGCACCATGTCTATACCTGCCTCTGGCTGCCCTATCTCAGCACAACCACCAAAAAGCACCCTGGGAGACCCCAGAAGCACCTGTTCCTCCTACCCCTGAACCCTGGGGGGCCTCACAGTATCCTGGAGAGTGAGGCAGACTACAGACAAAACAGAGAGAGTCGACTCTCGGTTGGAAACCCAGGAAAGGGGAAGCAGGTAATCAGAGTGCACACTGCTGCTCACAAGAGAGGGCCTGGCCCACAGCACAGCAGGCACTCCCTAAGAGCTGACCAGTTGGTATGGAAATGGGGCCCAAGTGAGTCCTCAGTGGTCCATCCTCTCCTACCAGGCATCAGCTTCAAGGTTCAAAGCAGACTTAGACACAGATCCAGTTTTCCTACTGTAAAATGGGAGGCACCTGTGTCCCTCTGCATCCTCTCGGCAGAAAGGACGTGCAGGGTGTGTGCCAGCCTGTCCTACTGCAATTCCACTTGTGTCTGAGGAGCAGCCTGGAGATGGGCTGGGGTCCCTGGGGAAGCAGGCTGACAGCTCCTCTCCAGAACAGGCAGGTGGGCGCTGATGTAGGGGGCCTGGGAGCTGAGCCTCTCCCCTGCCCCCCGTTCCCCCAACTAAAGAAAGGCAGCTGCTCCATCAAAGCGTGAGCTAATTAGGGCTGTCTCTGCCATCATGTGCCTGAGGAACACTCACCCGCAACAGGCAGGGTCTAGGAAAAGAAGACGAGCACGCTGAGAAATTCACACAAATGTCAAATGCTGCCTCCCAAGGAAGGGGGACTGCGAGGTCCAGCATCGTATCAGCCTCAGGGAGCAGCATCGGGGAGCCCATCCCAGAGGCCCTCAGAACAGCAAAGACACGCCCTCCAAAGACAGCACCTGAAGCTTCGTCCTAGTCTAAGATCTGCTGAGAACAAGACCCAGAGATGAGAATCACCTGACCAGGCCCAGAAGACAAGATCAGACAGGAAACGAGGGGCCTCCAAGGAGACCCAGCCTGAGCAGTTCTAGAGCAGAGCAGCAGCCCTGTCACCAACATGAGGCAGTGCTGGGGGAGGGGCGAGACATATGCAAAGACTAGGACTTTGCCCATCCAGGTCTCACCTGGTAGAAGGGGAGAGAAGACTCAAATCCCTAAAGAAATCAAAGTACAGACAAGAAACTACCTGGGGCAAAAGGGGAGGACACACACTGTGTAGGCAAGGGTCCTTCAGAGAAAGAATAAGTCAATGAGAATAAACAAAAGATGCCAAAAGCCAAGAAGAGATAAGGCTTTCCTGGTACTTGTGTCACAGGAGACCTGATGTGGGTTAGAGAGGGCCAGACAGCACTCTGCCCCAGCAAGGATCTAGAGGCACTGCCAGGCAGTCCTCAGAGAAGCCCCACATGTAGGACAGATCCTTGGGGACACTAAGCATGTTCTCTGCCATGCAACAACACTGAACAAGCCAGGCTCCACATGTATGAGAGACACCACACCATCATATTCCACTTAGAGGTTTCAGAGTGAATGAATGAATGACTATGTTACTTTAGGCCAGATCAGGTGACTCTGAACCTAAGGTCTGTGTGGGTTCAGAGAAAGAATAGGAGAGTCTGGTCTGGAAGAGCCAGGAGGGCTGCCTGGGAGAGGAGAGACTGCAGGAGGCTGGGATTAACAGGTGAGGAAGACAGCATGTGCTCAGGGAACAGCAGGAGCGTGTACAGAAAGGCTAGGAGATCATTCAGTGGAAGGCGGCCCTGAAGAGTCATGGAAAATGGGGCTGAGAAGTGCAGATGACACCTGACACCAGGGCAGGTCAAGAGGTCTGCTGGCAGGGACTGAGAAGGGGTGACACAGGACCCAGATGCTGCCTAGCAAGCGGAACCTGCTCCTGCTCCTCCCACCTCAGTCCATAAAACAAGTGCATCCAGCGCACACAGACACCAGGGGAGACCCAGGAAGACAGCCTTCCTCAGGACAGTGACCCCAAGAAGGGTAGGAGATGAGCGGGGGGGACACTCTGAGCCAGGCATAGCCCACCACTCCCAGGTCAGGCTGGTGCTGCTATGTGATGTGTGTCCATTATCTGCCCAGGATCCCTTCTTCCTCACCTGGCAGACACCCTTCTCCTCTGCTGCCTCTCCCACTCCTTGTGGTCCTGACGGGGTGGGTCCCAATCCCACAGAACACAAGGGAGGGCCTGTGGCCCAGTGCTGCCTCATCATAGCTCCCCATCACCATGGCCTCAGTGGTCACCCAGGACTGGGCAATCAGAGCCCTCAGTCTTTTACACTGGAGTCAAGACAGACAGAAGTTCTCTTTTCCATAAGGTAGGCTGCTATAAGCCAGCAGCACCTACAGCCATGCTGTAGCCAGGTCCCATCCCATTCTCACCCATCCCACCCTACCCCCAAGGAAAGAAGCCCATTTAGAGTAGGAGAGAATAGCTTTAACACAAGAGAAGTAAACCAGATAGAGAAAGATAAAGCCAGGTGGCTTCTGCCATTTGCCAAAATCATTTTCATAAGGCAATAAATCTACCTTTTCACCTGTAGTAGAGCCCTGAAGGACCTGGGTAAGTAGAGCAGGACCATGGGTCAAAAGTGGTCAAGTGGTTGAATGTGGCCAAGTGCGACATCAGTAGCCCTGGGCCTATACCCTAAGCAACCTTTCCTCCTAACTAGCTAGAGTGAGGGAACCCACGTAATTCTGAGCCTTACCTGAGCCTTCAGGGCTTCACTAGCTCCAGGGACCCTCAGAGGTTCCACACAATACCCTTCTGAAAACAGCCTTTTAGTGATGCCCAGTCAAGTGGCTGAGAAAAGGAGGAGGAGGAGAGTGGGAAAGACCTGGCTAGCACTTCCAGATGGCACTGAGTCCATCCAGGCAGGGACAGAAGAGAAGGGAATTTACTGAGCAACCTGTCCTGGAGGGCATAATCTCTTTCTCCCCAGGCAGCTCAGCCTTGGGCTTTGAATGCTCAGTGCTGCATGCTTTGGGGGAGGAAATGCCCCAAACAGCTCAGAGCAATAGGGAATGTGCAAGGACCAGGGTCTGGAGCACCTACGGTGAGAATCCTGTCAACTATGGCCGATGACCTTGGGCAAGTCCCTTCACTTCAGTTTCCTCACTGGGAGGCAGAGCTAAAACTACCTTGTGTTAAAGATAGAATAGCTAATGAATACCAAAATGCCAGCCAATGCATTGTGATTGAAAGATTCTAATTACAGTGGGTTTGCTACACAAAGAGACCAGACCATATTCAGCCCAGATGCCCCAGGCACATGTACACTGGCCTCATCCCCCTCCTAGACTACAGACACAGGACCAGAGCTGCAGCCCAAGCCTGGTGATGGGGGTGGGGCTTTCTTGCTGGGTGGCAGGTGGGTGCCCTGACAATTGGGGATTTGAGTGAGTTAAAAGAGCAGAGGCCTGGCATGCCTTTCAGTGACATCAGTGGCGCTGGTGTGCTCAAAGTCAACAGAAGGGTATTAAGGACGCAGCTAGTCTCCGATGAGATAAATGAGAATAAACCTTGTTCACGGCTAAGCCAGTTGGACTGAATAAATACCATTAGCACTTGGATTACTGGGATGTTCACAATCAGCAGGCGAGTCAGCTGTCTGTGTGCAGAGGGACAGCAGCAGCTGCTACTCTGTAAATCTTGGAGGCGGGGGCAGGCAGGGGCACTGCAGAAATGGAAGTGATTGCATTTGCAGAAATCAAATACTCTGGGTCAGGGTGACCGACGTGGGCAATATGCCAAAGGTGAGAGGTCATATTTTAGCTAACCAAGCTGAACAAGAGTCTAGGGGGCAGTGAGGAAGTGGTGGAGCTGATCTCAGGGTGCACAGCCAAGCCTGGCCAGGAGGCTCATGAGACTGCTGCCCACTTCAGACTCAGGAGCTGCCTTCCTCCTTCCCTGGCACTCAGGACTGGCTACATAATGTTTATAGAAATGTGGGGTCCTTGTCCAAACTACTAGGAATTTCAAGATGGTGAGGGCAGAGCATTAACTTGAGCACAGGCCCTTTTCAGTGAGGGTCCTCTGCGATGTACGGGTCCATGAAGCAGGCACTGCTGGCACCAGGGGAGGGGCAGAGAAAGAGGAAATGCACAGAAATCCTGCTCACGCATGAATTAGAACAAGGGCTGAAAAGGGAGTTTGGATCAGTGGA